TTCTGTCTTAGCAAGGTAAAGGAGTACGTCGGCCGGGGATTGAACCCCGGACCATGTGCATGGTCAGTGAGCGACCTAACCTCTGTGCCACCGACGCACTGGATAACATTATACTTCTCTTTTGATTTGACACTAGTAAGTAGTGTGATGTGTCTAGTCCTCTGATTGATGCAGACTGAATTCTATCAGTCTGATTGTAATGTGACCACCATTCTAGCTAGCTGGCCATCACGGTGCACATTGATTTGATGGTATTAGATGGTTGCAGGCAATCGGCCACAGGAAGCCTTGCTTGACCTAGGTTTCGTGTTGGTTGGCACTCACCAGTCAACAAGGCGTATCTGCAACCTTGAATGAACTCATATCCCTTCTGAGATTTGAACCCGCGTCACCCAGTGCTTCAGTGAGAGACGTTACCATTGAGCTATTCGGACTAGCGATTGACCTCCTGAAGGACTGCAGTGGATATTTTGATTTGACACTAGTATCTAGTGTGATGCTAAATTATTTACTTGGCGAGAATACTGTCATTATTATTACTATTAGTAGTAGTAAAATGACATTAGTGATACAGAAGTAAGCATAGTTGATTCAAATGATACTGAGTTAAATAATCGAGAAACACTTCGACCACTGAAGTGTTGTACCTGGTCACCTGGGTAGACTATAATCACATGTTAGATAAGTTTAACTGGTATAAAACGCACACACACACACACACATTGATACAGTGTTGATAACTGGATGCCGTTTCGAGCACAACTTATTACATACTTTTTCCTCCATTAATGTTGTTCACTGCAATTTTTCACATATACGGTCATTTTGATGTCATGTGTTTGGTTTTGATTCGATGAATAAAACTCAGTATTAGACGGAATGCAATTCACTTATGAGTTAGAAAATGAACAGGGTGACTTGGACATGCGAGAATCGTAGAATAAAACGAAAGCAAAATGGTGGATTAGGTACTAGCTAGCATTTTAGGACACCGACACACTCTAATAAGTACTCAAACCTTAACTCATCCCATCCAAAATCGGTGAAAATAGATCTACTTAAATGTGTATATATTCGAAGCAGGGGCCCCAGTCAGTCAACCAGAAGATATCTATAATGAAGTCAAACCAATTGGGTGGGAGGGGGGGGTGAATATTACAAGTGAATAAATGACTACTCACCAGAATTTGTTCAAAAATAAATGAAGAACCATAGAGAAAGGAGATTATTGATGAAAATGACACACAAAAAAATAAGAAAAGTGTCATCGAATTCGAAGACTTTGTGTAGTTCTGGCGTATAAAGAAGGAACATGAGAGGCCTCAGGTAGGATTCGCAATGAGAGTGGAATTAGCTCAGGTGGCATTTGAACCAACCAACAAACCAACTGTCTCAGAAACAGACCTTGTTGGCTTAAGGGCCCAACAGATCCTATGGGCTATGATGGAAAAATAAGATTTTGCGTGGACAATTGTGGTTTCGATAACTTCTTCTTCTTCTTCAGGCTCCACAGTTAGTTATAAATCCATGAATAATAGAGTACATATAGCCAGCCAATAAAGGCAAATGAAAATAATATCAGAAACTATATTGGGGTGGTGCATGTGTAAGTTGAGATGATAGTCCATTAGTTAGTTAACATAGTCAATCAAATGTGTATAGGGTGTATAGTCAGTCAGGCAAAATGTGATGAAGTGTGAATGAACAATCGGGGGATATAATGTTGCTTTATAGTTAACAGAATACAAGTGTCCCTGGGGTGAGAGAAATGCGATAACCACAAAATACATACAAATACACATTAACAAAGGGGACACTGAATGTGACACCCAGTTTATTTCACCTCATTGTTATCCTTAACTTCTGTCAACCTTTATGATTTTATACTAAGCCTACCAAAACTGTAACATCTTATTACAATTTAACCTCTTTATTTTATCACTAGACATTATCGGTCAGCCGTCACATTCAGTGTCCCCTTTGTTAATGTGTATTTGTATGTATTTTGTGGTTATCGCATTTCTCTCACCCCAGGGACACTTGTATTCTGTTAACTATAAAGCAACATTATATCCCCCGATTGTTCATTCACACTTCATCACATTTTGCCTGACTGACTATACACCCTATACACATTTGATTGACTATGTTAACTAACTAATGGACTATCATCTCAACTTACACATGCACCACCCCAATATAGTTTCTGATATTATTTTCATTTGCCTTTATTGGCTGTCTATATGTACTCTATTATTCATGGATTTATAACTAACTGTGGAGCCTGAAGAAGAAGAAGAAGAAGTTATCGAAACCACAATTGTCCACGCAAAATCTTGTTTTGATTTTAATATGGGGATTTTACATTTAATGGAAAAATAATATAAATTGCTGAATACACCATGTCATGACTATGAGTGGGGTCAATTGCGTGGGGCAGTCAAACTAGTAGACTGGGGTACCACAGATTATTTGAAGATAAAAGTTTGGCTAGACCTAGAATGCTTGAGTTTGGTGAGTTAAATGACGTAGGAAAAGGCTCGACCATTGCACTGCATTGAGTTGCATATGATTGCGAAACAGAATGGAATAGGGTAAAAGTACGAGAAAGTGTAGAGAGAGAGAGAGAGAAAGAGAAGTTGATCACTGAATCACTGTTCACTGATTAAATACGACTAAGGTGCAATCAAAATGACCTAGTTCCTACACTGCTCTGACTGATATGATTATGAGCAGGAAGAATTAATGCTCGATATTTGAGATAAACTTATCTCATAAGGAATTATTAATTTTTTTTACTAAATTAGGCATTCACGAAACAAAGTCAATAAGGGAAATATTATAAAATGCTACTCAAGAGCAGGAATATTTTATTTGATAAAATAATAGACGACACACTGCCTCAGCTTGTTTTATTTACTGATGTTGACGTTTTGAACACATTTAATTGCTGTTAATGAATAAATTAGGGCAGTCACATAACTTTCCAACATCGTGTATATAATTCCACGATTTCTTATCCTCTGATACGATCGGTAATGATGCTTTCCATATCTCTGGTATTGATGGTGAGTTATTCTTGGTGCATGTGTGAGGTGTAGATTCGGAGCTATTATGTTATAATAATAATAATAATAACAATAATAATAATAATTTGCTTTATTCCAAAACAGCACCTTTGATGGAGAATGGAATTCTCAGCATTTCACTACAGTATTGTATCATGTTTGTACATCAACAATAAATAAAATTCTACATAGATTAAGGATAATCTCAGTTAGTTTTTACGTCAACACATTAGCATGTCGGTCGGTAGCAAAGCCAAAAGTGAACGGAATGTTTGAAGGTGCTAGAAAAGTAGATACTACCAGCATATTTGCTGGCGTAAGCGGTAACAAAAAGGTGGAGATATACGGAGTGTGTAAGAACGAACAAGAATGTTTTAAGTAGAGTTTGTAAGGAAGAGAGAAACAAAACAGCACATAACAAAAACAAAGACAAAAAAAGATAGAGAGAAAGGAAAGGAGAGAAAACGTTGAACCTATAAATGATATGAGTTGGAAAAACGAGATCCAATTGTTCTACTAACTATTTAACAAGTTATAAGTTTCACGCCTAATGCTTTCTTTATCGTGCAGAACACGAGCTAAGTAGGGAATGGTTGAGTTTTTGTACTTACTAGTGGGAGCACATAGTTTTGTATATAGGCTTCTGGCCCTGCGTCATGAGATACAGGGGGAGAGTTGTGAATGAAGAGAGTGGTGTGAGTTAGATAGATAGAATGGATTTAGCCCATTTTTCACATGAGTCCAAGTGCCTGTTGACCAAAATATTAACAAGCTGGTTAAGGTGCACGTAGCTTACCCTGCTGACAACCTTTAACGTCCTGAGTAATAAGGTATAGTTTTTCTTCAGTAGTCCAGGAAAACTAAGGGGGGACAATAGAGAATAATAGGCAGGATGCAGGAGTTAACGAGTCGTAGGAGTAAGGGTTGGGTTATTCCAGAATGTCTTAACCTCTTGATGTAGAAGGTAAGACGGAATATTTTCTTATAAATCATCAAAATATGAGACGATCAGGAAATATCAGCAGATAGAATGACGCCAAGATATTTAATTTCTGACTTAGTCTCTATCTCAGTGCCATCTCTGTTGCACACCTAGTGAGGTGAGTGTTAACCAGTTTGTTTAGGTCAGATTTATGCCTAAAGGTGAAATTGACTGTTCGTCATTTAGAGGAATTTATGGTTAGACCATTTTCCTTGGACAACTGGCTGATTTCTGATAAAAAGCCATTTAATTAGGAGCAGTCTCTTTGACCATAACACTAATAAGAAGGAATTCCAGGTATCTACAGTCTTGTCGTATAAGTGAACACCATCTGAAACCCTATTTGGAATTATTAATACAGAGAAAACTGGGGTGGCATTTAAATCTACAAACCCAGTAAAGTATGAGACAGATGGCGCCGTTCACCCAATTAGACAAAATACCTTGTGAAAACAAAACACTTAGTTCAGCGAAAAGTCTCTTCTCGGCGAATACCTTATACTGACTATAAGGTGACCTACACAGGTTGGACCACTAGACAGGGATCGGCTAGATTATCGGAGTATACAAATTTAGCCAGGTGTAGAATGACTGACCTCCCTCAGGAAGATAAATAATTTTTAGAAAATCTCACTGACTACAATGCATGCACTAGCACACTGTCATACATACAATAGGTGGATCACTGATACAATCCTATTAAGTCATAGTCGGTAGGCGGAAGAAGTTCATGACGTAATGCCAGTCAGTACCAGAGATATGGAAAATATCACTACCAGTTAAATCACTGCGTGATTATGAGCAAACAGAATTACTCCGACAGTATATCGCTCAAATAAAAACGATATTTCAGTTATCCCATATAATACTGGTCACTAAAAAGACCTCCTTACAATTAAATTGTCAATTTAACCACCAACGGACATTTTAAAATGTTGATTACAACTCACTGTTGCTGTTGAAATAACTTTTGGCATAGATCATTTGGACCCATTGGATTAATAAATCTTCCGTTTATATCTGACATTCTACGGCAGTGGTTACAAGGAATAGTGAGGAAAGCATTTGTGCAAAGAGTCAATGAAGCTGTTCAATGTAACTAATTAACTGACTGATTGATTGATTGATTGATCAATTGAAGAACAGTGTTGTTGATGTTGAATTGTGCCAAAAATTATTGATGTTCACACAATCTTAATAATCCAGTAGCTCAGTGTGTTTATTTAAAGGCACAAAAGTCTTGACAATAATGAAATATAACTCTCAATCCAAAGTTATACTTAAACCTACATCCAGTGATTTTGTTCACTCACATACAGACATGAAAATATGGTGAGTGTGCGTTTGTAGGTGTATGTGTGCATACGTGCGTGTATTGATGCATAATATGGTAAAGTCATCTGGTATACCGAAGTGACCACGTGACGACTGACACTCACTACAGAGTATTCACATTCACTTATATAACCAATTGTCTTTAAAACACCAAAAAAAGCACAAAGTATTTAGCATAAATCGATCGATAAGGAAATTGTTTCATATATTCAATGAGTAATTAATACAATATATTGAGAGCAGACGTTTGATAGAGAAAAAAAAAAGAAGTACTATTTGATACTCGATTTGATGATTGGCTGTAATACAACCTTAATTTTATCAGCAACTATTGACTGCATCTAGTTTGACTGGATCCTCGTGTTTCGATGATATCTTTGAAGCCGTACACAGCGTTGATCACTGCAAACTGCTAAATACATTTGTTTTCACTTCTGCCTTTCCGGCCAATTCAGCATGGGTAACGGAAAAAAGATTGATGACCGCCAGTATAAGCAAGTCGTTCTTATTTTTTGTATAAGGATAAAACTTGAGCACAGTGGTACAGTATAACTCCGTTATTATTATTATTATTATTGTATCCTTTAGTTCCTAAAGGAACTTGGGGCTTCAGCTGCGCACCTCCATTGCCTTCTGTTTTCTGACAACTTTTTCACCCCGCTCCAGGTCTGTCCACATGCTTTCATCTCCTCCTCGCATGACCTCCTCCAAGTCACCCTTGCACTGACGATCAACTCGCCGCCTCCCTTTCGGGTTCCACTCGAGGGCTTGTCTAGTGATGTCACTCACTTGATGGTTTCCTCAGAGTATGGCCAATCCACCCCCATTTCTTTCTGCCTATTTGTTTTACAATCGGTTCCTGATTGGTTCGCTACCAGAGATCGCTGTTGTTGATCTTTTCTGGCCATCTGATCTTGAGTATTGAGCGAAGACAGCTAGCTGTTGATGAAGGTCTGAAGTTTGTTTAAGGTGCTCTCTATGACTCGCCAAGTCTCTGATCCGTATAGTAGCACTGACTTTACATTTGAGCCGAAAATCCGGATCTTATTTTTGATGCTGAGTGCTGTTTACCTCCACACAGATTTGAGAGTAATGAAAGCTTGTCTTGCTTTTCCGATTCTGGCTTTGATATCCTCATCAGTTCCGCCTGTAGTTGATTCCCATGTGTGTGGGTAGGTGAAGGAGGCTGTTTCTTTCAGGTTCTTCCCATTTATGCTGGCTGATTGTTGTCTGTTGTTGTTGTTGCTGTTGATGTTGGCTAGGAATCTTCATAGCCTCTGTTTTATCTATGTTCACTTGAAGTCCTATCTTTGATGCTTCTTCCGCCAACTTTTTGCTTTTCACTTGCATATCTTCCAGTTGGTGGGAAATCAGACATATATCATCGGCGATGTCCAGATCGTCCAAGTTCCTTTTTGTGTGAGTCCATTTTATGCCCGTTCCCTCGTTGGTTGCCGTTGTCTGTCGCATTACCCAATCAATTGCAATCAGGAAGATCATTGGTGATAGTAGACAGCCTTGCCTCACTCCCGTCCTCACTTCGAAGGCTTCCGTAAGTTTCCCGTTGTGGATTCCTTGGCATGCAGCATAGTTGTTATAACGGTAGGGAATTAAATGAGGACGTTGTCGCCTTGTTCTGTCTGCGCCTGACTAATATGCTTATCTGCTTGTGGTACCTTCCGATTCAGTGAAGCACGCAAATATCAAAAGACAAAGGCTGAACTGTGACTGTGTATTGTAGTTCAACAATAACTACGACAAGAAAGTTATGGTATTTATACATTTTTACAACAATATAGACAGCTAACAGCATTTGAAATAATTGATCGTAATAGTCAATAACAAAGTGCGTGTGAATGATGATATACCATTTATGCGAGATTAACAGCCGTTGAAATAATTGATCAGTAACAAAGTGCGTGGGATCCTATCAATAGTCGTGCAACTGTTGGATGAGATGTATAATTGTCGATGGGACCCCGTAGTAGCGAAGTAGTTGCCAAATCACCTCTCGATCGACGCTGTCGAAGGCCTTTTCAAAGTCGATGAAGTTGAGATAGAGAGGTGACTGCCATTCCAAGCTTTGTTCAATGATGATCCGTAGAGTGGCGATTTGATCAATACATGATTTGTTTCTCCTGAATCCGGCCTGTTCCGGACGAAGTTTTTCATCTAGGGCTTGTTTGATTCTCTCCAGGATGATGCGACTTAGTATCTTGCTTGGAATGGACAGAAGCATAATTCCACGCCAGTTTTTACATTGACTTAAGTCTCCTTTCTTTGGAAGTTTGAATAAGTATCCGTTCTTCCAATCCTCGGGTACTTTGCCCTCTTTCCACACCTTCTCCAGCAGTGGCGTCATCAAGTCCGCTGTTGTCTCTGGGTCTATTTTCAAAGCTTCTGCTGGGATTCCATCTGGTCCCGGTGTTTTCCCAGCTTTTAGCATCTTGATTGCATTCAGGACTTCTGATTTCGTCGGGGGTTCGGTGTTCACTGGTAGTTCTGCTTCCGTTGTTGGTATTGTTGGGCGCGTTGTAGGTGGCGGACGATTTAGAAGTCTTTTGAAGTGTTCAGCCCAGTGCTTTCTCTGCTCCACCTCTTTGGTGATTGACTTTCCATTGTCGTCCTTTATTGGCTTAATCTGTGTCGAACGTTTGCCCGAAAGGTTCCTAGTTGTTTGGTAGAGTGTGGCGAGGTCTCCTTTGCCTGCAGCTTGTTCTGCTTCGTTTGCCATGGTTTCATAATATTTTCTTTTGTCTTCCCTGGCACTCTTCTTCACTCTTTTGTTCAGTGTATTGTAGCTTGCATTCAGCTCCTGTTTTTGTTGCTCGTCAGTGCACTGGATAATCTTTTGTTTCACTGTCCTTCTCTCTTCTATTAGTTTCCAAGTGTCCGTAGTGAGCCACTGTTTGTCCTGTCTCTTTTTTCTGCCTAGAATTTCTATGCAGGTTTGGCTCCACACCGTTTTCAAGTTGTTCCAGTGCTTTTCGACGCTGACCTTTTCGCTGGTGTTGATTTGTGTCTCGGCTTTGTCCTTTATGCTTGCAATGAAGATGTCCTTTGTAGCCTGGTCCTTCAGCTTTTGAGTGTTGAACTTGGCTTGTGGTCTATCTGCAGCTCCTGATTCCCTGAAAGCTTTTAATTTGATTTGGATTGTCCCTTGTACGAGATAGTGGTCTGAGCCAACGTCTGCTCCTCTTCTTGCTTTTGTGTCCAGTAGGCTGCGCCTCCACTTCCTTGAGATTGAGATGAAGTCGATTTGGTTTTTGGTTTGCCCGTCTGGTGACACCCATGTAGCCTTGTGGATATCTTTGTGCTTGTATACACTGCCACCAATCACTAGTTCGTTGAAGGCGCAGAAGTCGGCGAAGAGTTCTCCATTTTCATTCATTTCTCCTAGAGCTTCTCTACCCATGATGAGTTCCCTTCCTGTGTTGTCTGGTCCCAGTTTGGCGTTCATGTCTCCCATTAGTATTTTCATGTCGCCAGCTGGAGTATTGTCCATTGTTGCCTGTAGTTGCCTGTAGAATTCTTCTTTCTTTTCGAGGTCTGCGTTGTTTGTGGGTGCATAACATTGTATGATTGACACTTTCCTTCCTTTGGAGTTGAATCTGGCGGTCATTATCCTGGACGAAATCGCCTCCCATTGTATCAGGGCTTTCGTTGCCGTTGGTGACATCATGATAGCCACGCCCTCGGTGTGCGTGTGGTTATCTTCTGGGTGACCGGAGTAGATCACTGACTCACCCGTTGACAATTTGGTGAGTCCACTCCCATTCCATCTGCTTCACATATTCCCAGCACTTGTATTCCGTATCTTTTCATCTCGTTGGCGATCTGGGCAGCTTTCCCAGTCTCGTACATAGTTCGGACGTTCCATGTTCCCACACAGACTTTTTCTTTTGGTGCAAAGGGGTTCATCTGTTGAAGTTTCTGTAGCAATTTTGTTTACAGGGTGGGGTTGCTAGCCTCACGCCTGAGAAAGGAATGATTACATTAAGATAAAGTTTAGAGAGAAGCGACTTTTTGGGTTGCTCCCCTCAAAATCGGAAAATAACGGACAAAACATTATAGATAAGATTTTATTTTGATAAAGTGTCACACAGTGTTGTTGTACAGTAATATTTACTGATGACCACGTTTCGAGCACAAATTGCCACTACTGCTCATAATCATCATATCAAGATACTCCTCATTCACACAACACTTTCTTGCTTCATTTATATACATGAGTTAAAAATTTGATGATTAGGCATTTCAATAAAAATCAATATAAGAGGTTAAAGTACATTCACAAATAATAATATTAGTGTTATCAATCAAATATACAATTAGATGGGAAATAAGATGAGTGTTTTTATAGTAAGTCAAATCAATAAACAAACAAATAACTCGTTAGAATGTTATAATGTATGTGAATTGAATTGAATTGAAATGAATTGAAATAGAATGTGAAGATTATTTATTATCCTCCTGTGATTTGACTAACTGGTGGTAATAATATCTTGCATTATCTTCTGTATGAGTGGAGTGGTGAGTCATTCCTATTGCACGTGTTCAGTGTAGACTGAATGATCCAGGTAGGATTCAGTCAGTCAGTTAGTCAGTAATCAATCTCTCTCTCCCTTCCCCTCCCTATATTACTCTTTAGAATACTCTGTCTTTGTCCCACTCACACCATTGTGTGGTTGTGTGCAGTGGTTGCATGCAGTGCAATGCAGTGATGAGTGTTTCTTTTTTTCTCAATGACTCATCTTCTCAGGCGTGTGATCAACCATTCTAACCTTAGCTGAATTATGATGATGTTCTGACAGGCAATCTCACTACCCCTGATCTACTAGTCTGGCATATACAGTTGACCTCAAAGTCAAATCCTAAACGATGAAATGAAACAGACAGAAGAAGAAGAAGCGTCGTTGTTTAGTAACTATCCTCTAAAATTCATTAGAAAACTCAAAAAAGATCAAAA